AAAAGAAAGCCAGGAGGTACCCAATCGCTGGAGTTGTGAGATTGAGCTTTGTCTGGCCTCTACCATTTGACGTTTCATGTTTAATTGGCTCTTCGAATGTGAAAATTCATCCTGTGTAGCTCTCAGGGTCATAGAGGCACGCAAGCCATCACACTATGTCAATGAGCAGTCTCGTCGTGATTGTTACAGCAGTTTTGACTAGGTGATATAAGTTAACAAAGCGTCCAATGGCATTTGAATTATATCACCACGACTCAAGTAAATGGTACATCAATTTTACAGAAAACAAAAGAAATGTAAAGATCACTGGGTTGGACCCCAGATATTCCTCTGGATGGTGAACTTACCGGCCATGTGGGATTCGGAGTGGTGCTCAATGTGGATCGGGACCAGAATTGGTCTTGAGTAGAACCGATCGAATTTTGTTGCACAATCTGGTGTGTTGTAGCATTAACCGCTTGTGCCGCATACGTGTTTACAATCAAGCCTGCAGTTGTGGATTCTGATCCATCTCTTGTCAATTTGGGAATGGAAATAATATCTGATTTTGGAAGTACTTCTCTGCTAGTATTCTTCGGTCTATCTTTGATGGGAGGTTGAACTTCGCTCCGAGGCTCATCCCCTGAGGCGGTACATAGACAAGGGAAGAGAAACAGAACTCGAATTTGTCGAAAAGCGGAGTGCCTCACAAATAAACCACTCCTGTGTTATTATTCTCTATCTTTCCAAGTATATTTTTCAATGGGTATTGGTGTCATTCTCTGAGTTTTAGGAAAAACGCACACAAGCGTCACACAGTTGACTTACCAGCTTCTTTTGATTATGTCTCGATTATGTTACTACATGATTCCCCAATTATTAGAAGAAAACAAAACATATACTATCTTTGTAAAAATGAATACTGCCGAACGTGTTCCAAAAGTCATAAGTTCTGTGCCAAATAGTTCAATTAAGTCTAGACTTTCAGTGACACTAACTGACGAAGCTACACTTTTGTGCTAAACTCATTCATGTGCATTGAAGCGAATCTATAAAATTGTCGGCTGTAAATTGGACTGGTAAAATTTAGCTCCAGATTCGCTTGCAGTTTGAAGTAACCGGTATGTGAAAGAAAACCTTCTTATATCATCCAGAAAAATGAAATCAGGGATGTCGTGTCATTCATTAGTTGTTTGGTTTTATCACACCTAACATAAAACTCATTTGTAATCGATGTAAAATCATGATATAAAGTTCACAGATTTCCTGGGGAAAATGATGTGTACATTTTAATCACAGACGTTTAGGAGCTGTTTGTCAAAATACGTTCGACTAAATTCTGTTTGGTTTGAAAAGCGTTGAATACGCCGGCAGGATAACATCGCCACGCACGTTATCAGATAGTCGCTCTCGACGGGTGATGTTTGCTGAGGCAGGTAATACGTGGAAAAGGTTAAGGGTAACAACCTCAGACCTGGAATGAAAACACACAAAAAGGTCTTAACCCGAAGATATGGGCATATAATTTGGGGACCTCAAGATCGGTCGGATTCATAACTAGAGAAAATGCTTGATGTAAATGCATATTGCAAGTAAAATAACTCGTGCATCTACACAATTTCTTCGACAATTCAGCACAAACTGAATCTGATAATGCTTTCAGTTTTCAAATTATTCCGTCTACTACTTTTTCTCAAAAAGGGCCAAAGACGGCACCGAAAACTGCCGCGTGAAGCTGCAAGATTCGAGGTGGTATGAACGGAAGAAAAACAGGACAACAATCATTTTCAATTCATTGATATACCAAATACACGAAGTAAATCAAAAAATGTATAAATAGATTGAGAAGCCTACGAAAGGCCCGTAACTTGTTGTGTCGGATGCAAAAATCCAATAAATTCAATTATCATAGCAAAGTGGATTGTAAAAATGCTTAAACCTGTGCACAAATCGCTGAATACATATGGTCGTATTCGTTGATCACGAACCAAGATGTGTTGCTTAAGACCATGCTTTTCCTAGATGTCGAATCTCTTTTCGAAAAAATACCACTGTTGGCGACGGTAGATTATATATATCAGTGCATTATTGCCAACAGTATACAAGTTCAAATATCGGTGATGAAACTAAAAGGATTATTACTGAGCAGTACTTGGAACGTGCAGATTGTGTACCATAAAAAGTACTACCGACATAAGGATGGTGCACCTACGGAATCATCACGTGATCTACTTCTAGTAGATACATTTTTAGCCAAGCTGGAAGATGGACCATTGAGGAACGTAATCGAAACTTTAGACCTATGAACCAGGTACATTTTTATTTATTTATTTTTATGTTTGACCCCACAACAAACGCTACTTAACTCATACACTCATTAAACAATGCTCATCCACGTATGGGATTTCCATTGGAGATAGAAAAATACAACTTTTGCCTATTTCTGTACGTTGAGCTTCACCATAGCCAGATCGAAAGAAGCGTGTACCTCAAACGCAGGGGGGTAAGACAGTACACATGTTTTCAAAGTTTCGTCCCACTGAGATATGAACGGAATTTATTGAACTGCCTACCTTACAGGGCGAGGAGAGTTTGTGATCCTGAGACCCTGAATGACGTGAGAGACATGCTACAAAGAAACGAATCCCCAGAGGCGTTCATTCTACGACATCTGGAATGAGAACCAAACGATGGTAAATCACAAATGCCTAGAAGGACGGTGTGTGTGTATGTTCCTTTCAAGCGAGACCGGGCGTTAGAAATCCTGTAGCATCGGTTATCAAAAGCCATTTCTAACTGTTTTTTCCCCGCTGCACATTTAAGACTCACATCGAGGAGTAAACCATTCATTCATTGTGCAACAGTTTAGGGGAAATTGCCTCATCCGTCTCAATACTTTGTTCTGAATCAGTTTACGTACACACTTGCAGTGCTGCTTTGACCGGACAAAACAACGAGGCCTTTGTCCAAGAGAACATCTATTTGAAAATTAATAGTGAGAAGCTTGAACAGCTCAATCCTGCAACATCTGGTCAACTGTGAGCACAAAGTTAACCCAGGGACATCATTTGCAAGTTTCTTCCCAAAGCATAAGAACCTCATCAAAGGATTCGGTAAGAAGATTCTGAAAACTGCAACCACCATAGCAATTAGGATTATGAAGCCGTTTTGTGCACGCAACATAATCTGCTTCAATTGTTTTGTTCCCATGGCCATAGAGGCGATTGCCCTATATTCCTATTTGACTTTTTTCCATTCTCCCCATTTGTTGTCTTTACTCATACTTTCGCACCTGTTCCATGCATTCTTGACCAACATCTTCCATATCGTGCCCACTTCACACATTTTACTTTACTTTTCCCCATTCATTTATCGTGACTCCATAGTTTGTTGTCAACCGAACATTTGCACACGCACACACACATTTACTACCAGCTTAGCCCTACTATCAATCTATTGAGTAATTAACCAACGTTTGTAGGTGCATGAGACGATATATCAAGGAGACATTTCTTCGCGCTTCCACTTTTTATGTATGTATCTATCAGTCGGAACATTTTACTATCATGTTGTTCTGCACTGTTTCAGTTGAAAGGTGGTTGATCATCAGCCATATCCCCAGTTAACCAGGGTCTTTGGTTTTTTTGATTGGAGTTAAAAGATACGTAAAATATGCTCCTTGATTATTTACAACCACTGGTAAATAAAATAGCTTTTAGAAATCTCCATCCTACCGGGTTTTAGGAATCACAAGATGGGTTTACGCAATTTCAACCTGCAGGAAGCTTTCATCCATTAAATATATAATTTCCCTCCTTCACATTCATTCTCGCTCGACACTTTTAGAAATTTGATAACTGAATGTGGAAACGCATCTTTGTTCAAAGAACGGTAGAAATTAGAGCTCCGGATGGAGTATGCAATCATCTACTTTGTTCACAATGAATCCGGATTGGTGCAATTAAATCAAGCAAATTCGGCTTCCGAAAATACACACCTCTAGTGCATTTTATTGTGACCGAAACGGTGATCTGTCTAAGTATTCCACGTTTATAGATGAAGTCTGATGGAACAGATATTCTTAACATCATTGAGGTCCACCAGAAGAAGTATTCAATGAGAGGGAGGATTTACGGTTTTCAGCCGCACATCGACTATCAAAACCAAATGGTCCCAAAAGGAGGATCCTTATAAAACTAACTATTCAATAATCGATAGAAGATGGTTATTCGCTGAATGCACCTGATTTGAATTCATTTTAGTAAACTGAGGCTTAGAAAACTCAGTCAATAGAAAATCCCGCTGCTGTAGATGCTCACGCTCTGTCTTAAATCATAATTTACTATCGTTTTATCTTTTGGGAGCATTGCAGCACTGCGAACAAAATTAATGATCGGGAAAACAGTTTAGGCCAATGATTAGGATTTTAGAAACAGCTCAAGAATTCATTGGATGTGCGTACATTTATTAGCTCTCTCAGGTTTTCCAACAAATCGGAAGGAACGAGTAAGTTAAGTGGGTGTGCAATTTACTTTTTTCTCACTCATCTTCAAAAGTGTAGGGGTGATAGTATATTGTATAGTATATGTTGTGTATTGGTGGAATATTGTTTCACTGCTTATGAAGAACTAGCTAATCATCTGCTGTCACGAGTGTGAT